TATCAGAGAAGAAGCAATAAGTACAAAACGTAAAGAAGGAAACCAGTTTCGAACATAGGGCCAACAATGTTGACACTTTTAAAAAGAATTATTCATATCGTTTTTATAATCTATGTAATTTGGCACATTTTCCCCATTTTAGTGTTTAGTATTTCCCCAATCAGAGAGAGATACGAATCAAGACTTGTACGGACATGGCGATGATGAGGATAGATGGCGTTAGCCACATCACCAATACTGCAACTGCTCTGCTTCCATCTCTCTTCACCGTAACTGTTCTCCGCCGCCGCTCTCTTCGTCTCCGGAATGTTGATTCTCGACAACGAAAGCTTCAGCTCCGATGCTTCTCGGCTTCTTCCGATTCTCTGCACTTCGATTTCTCGCCGCCTCCAATCGATCACGATCTCCTTGTAAGCTTCTTGATTCCTGCCTGAGTATGCACTAAGGAACTTATATTTTTATATTTAGCTGTCGAAACAGTATTGAAAGGTTTTCTAGAAAATTTTTGGGAGTTTTCTTGTAAATTGGTTGTTTCTGAGTACAATAGTCATATGCTAATGCATTTCTGTTTCTTGTTTATGGACTTGTGAAGGATACAATTAGTGTTGCTGGAGGGAAAGTTTCAGAAGATGGTGTTGTTGAGAGTTTTAATAACGACGATGAGGCTTTGGATGCATTTGATAATGGAGTGGTGGTATGTAACTCAACTTCTCTTTGTTTATCTTTGAAGCAGCTCTTTGGTTGTATGCATTATGGTTCTTGTTTGATCTATATGTGATTTATAGGTTGTGGACCTCTCGCATTTTGGCAGAATACGAGGTATATCCTTGTTTATCTCTTGTGTTTTTTCGACATGAGATTTGTTCTAATTCGCTTATAACAGTTAGCTTTTGACTTCGCTTGTGCTACTACCTAATGTTTGTGGTTTTTTACTTTTGGCTACATCCTTGGTGTTATTGCCATCAAGTTAGTGGAGATGACCGTGTTCCTTTCCTTCACAACCAAACTACCGCAAATTTTGAATGCCTTAAAGAAGGACAGGTGAGTCTTTTTAGGGACATTTGCATTGCATCGAGTGTGTATTGTTGCCTCTGTGACTGGTAACCACTTGTGGATCTATTTGTTCATTTCTTAAGGGATGTGATACTGTAATCGTGACCCCAACAGCAAGGACGATTGATATTGCACATGCCTGGGTCATGGTAATAACACTCCTTCCTTTTGGGTAGTGACTGATATAGTTTGTATGCAAGTCTGTGTTAAAACAACTCCTTTTTCACTTTCAGAAAAATGCAATAATGCTAACGGTTTCTCCAACGACGTGCCAAAGCATAATTGAGATGCTGAACAAGTATGTTAAAAAGTTTCATCCTTGTCCCCATACAAAAGTTGTGGTTGTTTCATTTGAAAATCAGGCTTTGGTTTTGAGAATTGTGATGTCAATTATTTCTTTCTCATCTTCATCCTCTCAGGTATATTTTCTTTGCTGACAAGGTAGAGATCAAAGATATCACCAAGCAAACTTGCTTATTTGCTTTAGCAGGACCGAAAAGTAACCAAGTAAGATTCTTCTCTAAGCAAAGTGACCATTTTATCTGTTTGGCCTTTGTGGCAATTCAAATGCATTTTTTTTATGCTAATCCAAAAACTTGAAACAGATTATGTCTAAACTGAATCTGGAAGAGCTTATTGGGCAGCCATATGGCGAGCATAAACATTATAGTGTAAGCCGTTTTTTTCTACTATCGAAATAGATCTTGTGAACTGGCATGTAGTAACATGTTCCTTTCCTTCTCAGTTGGATGGAATGCCAATAACAGTTGGGGTCGGAAGCCTTATTTCAGAGGAAGGCTTTACCATGTTATTGACACCAGGGGGTGCTGTTTCAGTCTGGAAGACTCTTTTAACTGAAGGTGCTGTTCCAATGGGTTCTGTAGCCTGGGAGAAACTTAGAATCATTCAAGGTTAGTAAAAGTATTGTCCAAATATAGGCGCCATCAGTGTTGCTCGATTTGGTTTTGCACCGATGACATGAATATTACCCGATTACCTTCAAAAAACTAATTGAGTTTGTGGTCACAACTAAAGGCGTGGTTGTTCAATATTTACCTAATATAGATAAGAAGCTCATAAAGATATTCTCCAATTTTGAAGCAGTGTTGTACAAGTTGTTCTTTATGTCTTTGCGCTTGCAATAGTGAAACCAGCATTGTTAGATCGTACAGCACCAATAACTTAGTGAATAAGCAGAGAACATTAAATGTTTCTCAGGCCTAAAGCATTGATGTTTTTCAGGAAGACCAGCACCTGAGAGAGAACTCAGCAAGGAATTCAATGTTCTGGAAGCGGGTCTATGGAACTCGATCTCTCTGAACAAAGGTACTCGAGAAGCTTTGGTTAGTGAACTAAGATGGTACAAAAAACGCTTTGAGTAAACAATATTCAAACATTTCAGGATGTTATAAGGGACAGGAGACTATCGCAAGACTCATAACATATGATGGAATCAAGCAAAGGTTGTGTGGACTTGACCTCTCTGCACCGGCAGAGCCTGGCAGCACCATCACATTCAACGGGAAAAAGGTCTTGAGCACTTGTGTGCATACCTTAGTAGCTCGAAAACAAAGAGAGCTGCCAAAGTTTTTTTTATTACTCCATGACTAACCACATAAATTTTATTTTCAGGTGGGGAAGCTGACTAGTTGCACAAAGAGAAGAAACGGGTCCAGCCATATCGGGTTAGGCTACATCAAGAAACAAGCAGCCTCAATTGGAAACACAGTGACTATAGGGGAAGACGTTTCTGGGGTAGTAGCTGAAGTCCCATATCTAGCACGGCAACATCCTCCATCAACCAACCCGAGTTCTTGAGTAGAAGAAATACGCTATGAAACTGCACACTGGTACTCAAAACAAAACCTGAGTCCACATGTATTTTGAGATGCAAGTAAATGATCTGTGGGGTTGTGATCATTGAGACCTTATTATTGATAGACAGGGAAATGATTTAGAACAAGGATTTGGAGTCTTAAATATAGAAAGTTTTCTAGGGGCAAATGATAGTAGGACAGTTGCAGATACGCTTGTTTCTATGATGAGGAATGCAATCGCAGTAGACTGGGCTGAGCCTTACACTTGGATACCATGTACTTAATAAGTCATTTAGACAGTCTTGTCCTCCATCTTCTGAGCATGATCCTCTGAAAACTTGTTTTCTTGACGGGCACCACTGCCTTATCTGCGCAGCTGGCATATTTGGTTCTTCACCTAATTCATCCACAAAAAAAACAAAGTTAAAAAAACAAAGCTGTTTTGGGTTAACCGGAGTTCAATTTGGTGATCTCAGTAGAATGATAAAGACCTTGTGAAAGGTTGTTTGGGACAAGGGAGAATAAGACACAAGTAGCCCAGAAGATTGCAGCCAACCTCATGTTTTGTTTGTAAGTTTCT